GTGATGGGAGGCTCAAACACACGCAAAAAAAGGGGGAAAAACTTCAACAGAGCGTCTAGATTTTTTTAAATGTTGTTTTTTTTTTAATTACATGAGTGTGTTGATACATGAAGGGGCTACAGAACAGGTCTGAGTCACGTGTGTCATTAGAAAATAATAAAATAAAATGTTAATAAATCTCTCACAACAGCTAAAAATGTCCACCCTTACAAGCAGCACGTTGAAAGGCTGTGGTCGCAGGACTTTCATTGAGCTACAGCCCACCATGAATAAAAACACGGTCTGAAAACATTGTAATAAAAAACAAAAAAATTCTGACACAAGATGGGAAGGATGWCAAGGTGGGTCTGGCCTGCTTTTACAAGCTCATAAGAACGGTGGGAGTGTGGACAGCACAGGGGTATGAGGGGTGTGGGTCACTGAGGTCATTAACGGGCATTGTCTCTCCAGACATGATTAGTCAGGTAGCAAAGTCCATTTGTCACCTGCACTGGCAAATTGAGTTGGTGCTGCACTGGGGGCTATGGGGACTGTATAATATCAACTTGATTACATCAAGGCAGCTGCGGACTTGACACCTTACTGAATTTGTCAGCATTAATCGTTAGGGCCTGTCACAAATCCATCAGCTTCACAGATAATTAGGGCTCTTTCTAATGAAGCCAACGGGAAGCAACCTTACATCCCCCACCACAACCACTCTTTACACACACACACACACACACACACACACACACACACACACACACACACACACAGCCTTATAATTAACCAACATGTTTCAAAGAGCAGCAGCGACTATCTGATCTGCACTTCTTCCTCTATTCAAGCCTGCCTCGAATGAAAAGCAGCACCATTCCTTTCTTTTCCCTGCTTGCTCGTGTTGTCGTTTTCATCCTCATCACCTTAAAAAAACTAATTGTTTACTGGAGAGCTTCAGCTGCAAGCATCACAAAAGATATGTGCACTAATAAATATGTACAGACTTAAACTTGTGGACTTTTTTTTAACTTTCTTTAAATCCTGTTTTTTTTCCCCCTCTCAGAGAGTGGATTTTAGTTTGAAAACATTTTTTTAAAAAGGAAGTGTGACGTCTGTTACTTTTGTTTTAGCTGTAGGATTGTTTTATAAAGACAGAAAGAACAGTGTTCCAAAATAATCCAGAAAAGTTCACACACACACACACACACACACACACACACACACATTTTTTTTTTGTGGTGGGGAGGGTTATATGTCAGGCACTAGACAGGAAACATCAGAACCATTAGTTATAACATGTTTCACATGATGTATGCCTACAGCAATTTGGGTACATTTTCATTGCCTGNCACACACACACACACACACACACACACACACACATTTTTTTTTTGTGGTGGGGAGGGTTATATATATACGTATGTGTATATACACACACATACTATTGTGATGCAATTTTTAAAAACATTGCATCAAATTCTTTCCATAAAATTTTTGCTATTATTTTAATAATTCTCTTTTTTAATTAAGCAAAAATAAATTGAGGAGAAAATGATTTTTTTTTGTAGGGAGCTCCCTGAGATGTTGATGCAGTGACATTTTAAATCACAGAATCTATAAAACTGGTGATAAAACTCTGAAACCTGCAGTTTGAAATGCTTTTTCTGGAGGGAGAAGCTAGTTTTTTTGTCTAAAATGAAATGCAACATATCAAGTATTAATCTAGGACTAGTTTGCAGTGAGAACTAAAAAGACTTGTCCAGACACATCCACTCACATTGTTCTGTCTGCTTGCTGGTTTCCATGCAGGGACACGGTGAGCCAGTTGCTCAGAGAAGCCACAGGTCAGGTTTGCTCCCAGTCAGTGTGTGTGTGTGCATTWGTTCTTTTCTAGTGGGAGCCTAGAGTGGAGGGCGACATCTCTGACCGACCCCCCGTGTTCGCTGGAGAATGGAAAACATCCCGTTTGCCAAACTCTGATTGAGCATTACAACCTGTGATGTCCACGGCCCTCAGTGGACAGTGGGATGGATCAATGCTGTGTGTGTAGGTGTGTGTGTTTTGTGAGAGGGAGGGATCACAGCCATGTCACGGTTTTTTTATGTCTCCATCTAAATGCAAGAACCCTAACGGGAGCTACTCTGCTCCCATCGTGGTCGCCCTTTTCCCCACCGAATTGCTTCGCCGAAACCTCCACAACTCTTCCTCTTTAAACAAATAAAAAAAGTACAAATAAAAATCGGAATCCTTGCTTCTCAGCGTGGGCCGAAAATCTCACAAAAACCAAAAGAGGAGATGAAGAGCAACCGGTTGAACGTTCTCCATCCTCCTCCTCCTCAGCATCATCATCAGCTCCCTGCTCCAAACGATAAAACCTGCTGAGTTCAAAGTCCTCGTCGGCTGGGCCTCCTGTTCCACCTGCTTTGCGCCTCATATTTCAAAATCTCTTTAAAATTCTGTAACTGTCTTTTGTTCGCCGCAGTTGTTAATGCCTGACTTCAAAGGCTCGGCCTCATTAGCACAGAGGTAGAAACCCCTGTCACTCATTTACATTTGTTTAAAGGCTGCAGGCAGACAAGAAGGGGGGCTGGAGAGAAAAAAAAGTCCAGATCCAAACCACTAGAAGTCAACCTTGTCGGTCCTCTGCCAGCATCAGCTGCAAACACCTTTTCTGCTTTAACTTCCTAATTACACTCTAATGGAATCTAATGTACAAAGTAGGGTTTTAAGTTATTATTTGTCCTTTAATTTGAACCAACATTACTGTTTAATAGTGAGCATTTCATTTATATTAGATTTTCGACTTTTAACTTTTTGTTCTTGTCAGATCCTGGTTGTGTGAGAGAGGAACGGCTTCCCTTCATGGAGGGGTTTTATTGATGTTTATCAGAGATGAACAGAACAAAGAGTGCCACATGACAGGCGATCAATCACACATCAAACCAAGAATGACAATCCTCTAATAAATCAGGAGAAAAACTGTCTGTCCTTCTTTTCCAACTCAATTATTCATCATTACTCACTTTTGAACCTCAAAAACTCCCTTTTATCCCCCAGAACATGCCATTTAGTTTTTCYCACTACACCTATTAAAACTTTCCTGGCAAAAAGGACAGAGGAGTTAAAAMAAGAATAATAAAAATTAAGTGAAGGCGTCATTTTGGGAGTGTGTGTCAAAACAAAACAATTGTTTTCAACCTTWAAAATACTAATATTTGAATGCCAGCATGCGTGATGTGGAGGGAGATGGTTTCATTTTAAACAGAAAGAAGTTGGTGGTGAGGAAGAGGGGTGGAGGGGAGGGGGGATACCTGCTGATCGACGCGGCTCTTGCTGCTTTCTCCTCGGCATAGTGACCGTCACGTTCCACGGAGCTTCTCATGCAGAAATTACAAACAAATCAAGTCTCTCAGTTTGGAAAAAAAAAATCATCCCGAAGGAGAGAGAAGGTGTGGAGGGATGGGGAAGTGTGGAGGTGGAGGTGGGGGGCCTTTAAGTGTCTTTTCGAACTGGCTGGAGGAAACTGGGAAACGATCAGGAGGGATTCGGCCAGCAGCTCCAAACACCCCGGTGCCCATCAGAAGTCATCTTCCTTCATCTCTCTCATGGCAAGATTTAAAAAAATAAAAATAAGAAACACGAGCAGCAAAACTACTGAAGTTTCAGTTCACCCCTGRAAAAATAAATAAACAAATAAAACTTCTCTCTTCAGTCCTGTTTGGAGTTAAGGGGTAAACAGTTTGCTGCGTCTGTTGACGCACGCCAAGAGAAATTATTTCACGCAAATAAGTCCAACTAAATGAGTCAAACATCCGCGTGTTTCCATCTTTTCTCCTGCCACACACCTAAAGGAGAGAGAGAGAGAAACAGAGAAAGACAGGGACAGGCATTAGATGGGTTCATGTCAGCCCGGATCCAGCCTCAGCAGTCCGGCGCAGACTTTCACCTCCCTCCCCTCTCCCCACCGAACAGACCCCACAGACAGCAGGCTTCCTCTCCTACTTACGGTTTAAGAGTCGTGAGAAAGATCTCAGCCACTCATCTCATCGCATCTTTTTTTTTTCTCTTTTTTTTTTTTTTTTTTTCAGGACGGGGTGGTTGTTGATGCGATGAAAAAGAGAGGAACAAACATCCAAAGCTTCGCCCTCTCCCGCCCCAGAAAAAAAAAAACAAGAAAGAAAAACCACCCGATCAGATCGACGCGAAATGAAGAATATTTGTCTTCAGATGAAAAGAGGTGGTTTAAAGAGAGAGAGAGAGAAAAAAAAGGTGTGGAAAGTCCAGGAGCGATGTGAGGCGGTGGATCTGGAAGCTGTTTCAGACAGACTCAACTGATCGACAGACGCATCGAGTGGCTTTTCCTGCTACATTTTTACTCCTCCCCTCTCCGCCAGCGTCAGCCCTGACAGAGGAGCTACCTGTCAATCTTTTTAATTGTCTTGTTTTCTCCCACCCCCTATCTTTTCCTCTCCCTTTGCTTTTATAACCTCCGACGAAAATTAAAACGAGGACACACACACACACACACACAAAATTTTATCTAAACCTATACTTACAAGTTAAAATGTTATCTGTAGTTTCAGTGACAGAGTGAGGGTCCTATAGAAAAGACACCTAAATATCTAATAGTCATAATTCATAAAAGAGCAGATGGTAACACACCTCCAGGAAAGAGAAAAAATATTTAAGGAAGCACCAATGAGAGCTTCGGTCCAGGTGTGCACACTTTTTTACACAACACCGGTGTTCTAAATGAGTTGGGTGATAGTTTTAATTCTACATGTTGGGTTAAAGTAGCTCTTGTTGATTTAGTCGCCTGTGTGTGTGTGTGTGTGTGTGTGTGTGTGTGTGTGTGTGTGTGTGTGTGTGTGTGTGTGTGTGTGTGTGTGTGT